ACTTTCACTTTAATGAAGCTTTGCTTTCTAAAACAAAGTGGCTTTCACTACTTAGCTTTTTCAATTCTGTTGTAGACTTACTAGAAATCCTGTTATTCGTCAGGAGCTTTTTGCTTCCTCCTGACTCAAAGTGGTTTGACTCAATTGTGTGTTAGATATACATAGGAGAAGTGCTCCTCTACTTTCCTCACTGGGTGCATCCGCATAACTCACTGGCTTTCGTCTTGCAGCTCAGACAATCTGACCACGGAATACTTGCATAGTTACCTGATAGTGTCAGCTTTGCCGCCTTGACTGGATGATACAGACCTCTCCTTAACCAAAAGGTCTTCAGCCCCCTACAATCTGGACCATGGAAAGAAAGATTAAAGGCATTTCTGAGTTCTTCTCAGAAAGGGTAAGGTAAACATATTTCATCGGTTCTTTTGCATTGAGGTTTTTTTGTTGTCGGGTCTACCCACCAGCTTGGCAAGGTCAAGAGAAAAGGCTCTCCCTTAAAAAGTGGACAGCAAAGAAAAACTTTTTTCAGCTAAAAGTGAAAATTTGACTGAAGCAAGTAAGAATGTATGGAATTTGCCTGACTGCATGGGATATGTAAGCAGTTTATCAGAAATAGAAGATGGAAGAAAAGAGCAAAGATGAGAAATACTATTCCTTTCTGGTACTTGTTATTATCTCACTGTAGGTAACCAACACATGCATCTATTCATGTGAACAGACACTTGTAGGCTTCTAGGTAAATTTTTACCTAGTAAAACTAGTATTTTTTTTTTTAATTCAAGATAACTTATGAAAAACAATCTTTGGGAAAGAAAGCACTTTTGTTCTATAACAGTCAGCTCTTTCTCCCAGAATAGCTCTTACCTAGTGTCATGGTTTAACCCCAGCCAGCAACTGAGCCCCACGCAGCCACTCACTCACTCCCCCCCAGCGGGATGGGGGAGAAAATCAGAACAGTGAAAGTGAGAAAACTCGTGGGTTGAGGTAAAGACAGTTTAACAGGTAAAGCAAAAGCCGCACGCGCAAGCAAAGCAAACCAAGGAATTCATTCACTGCTTTCCACTGCCAGGCAGGTGCTCAGCCATCCCCAGGACAGCAGGGCTCCATCACGCGTCATGGTGACTTGGGAAGACAAACGCCATCACTCCAAATGTCCCCCCCTTCCTTCTTCCCCCAGCTTCATATGCTGAGCATGATGTCATATGGTGTGGGATATCTCTTCAGTCAGTTGGGGTCAGCTGTCCCGGCTGTGCCCCCTCCCAGCTCCTTGTGTCTCACCTCCTCACTGGTGGGGTGGGGTGAGAGGCAGAAAAGGCCTTGGCTCTGTGTCAGCACTGCTCAGTAGGAACAAAACTTCCCTGGGATGGCAATGCTGTTTCCAGCACAAATCCCCAACACAGCCCCACACCCGCTACTGTGAGGAAAACTAACTCTATCCCAGCCAAAACCAGCACACCTAGCAAAGAGCAAACTCCTGGAAGATCATGTTCCTTATACAAGTAATATAGTTTTAACATTTTTCATGGCTGTGGTGTCATGATTAACATTGGAAAAGACAGACCAGAAGTGAGAAGGAGCTCTAACAATGCAGATGGAAGTGTATGTGTATAGCGGTGTCAGTTTGGGCAAGAGGAAGCAGGTTATCTACGCCAGGATAAAACAACCTTGAAAAAAATTACCTAAACCCATTTAATTCACCAAGCAGAAACAAGTAAATATCAGAGCACCATCCTGCATCTGACAAACCTGACAATTATGAGAAAGGACAGCAGGCAAAAACTCCCCTTAGTAAAAATTCACTGCACCCATTACTAACATAACAGAAATAGGAAGTGGCTTTCTACATCTTTCCCTTAACTCAGACTACTCTTGGGCTGGCCTTTCTGATTTAGTTCAGCATACCACAGACTGACCTACTTCAGAACAAGTGGGTCATGATACAACTTTAAATCAGGAAGCCTTAAACCTACTCTTCTCCTCAAGAGTGTGTTTGAGTCAGAAACACTTTCTTCTTGTTATCCTTCTTAGGACAGTACTTTGGCTCAAGAAAAGAGAGAATTTTCAGAACCTGTGTTGGCAGGAAGAACCCAGGGTTCTAAAAAGGAAGATCTTCGTTGTAACTGTATTAATTTTGCTTCATACTGTCCAACACAGTTGTCTCCTGCACTCTAGGTAAGTGTATATTGCAGCCTTTCAAAGGCTTTTGAATACTGACTGATAGTGAGGTTTATAGTATCTTAACTTTCTGCCACTCTGCGAACTGCTGACATAAGCAAAAATGCCCAGGGAACAGCTGATGTATAAGTTATCTTTCCAGGCTGATAACACCAATACTTTTGATCTCTGTACACAAAAGCTGATTATCTCATCCAGAGAATGAGGATGAATGTCTCAGCATTTAATTTTTCTTTCCAGTGTAGACATTTTTAAACTCTCTACAGTGTGTATGCAGATTCTTTGAAGCTGATCTTTCATGGCTTAGAGGCTGTGTGCACTCTTTGGTGCTAAAAAATATCAGGGAACCAATTTTGCCCCAGCAGTCTACAAAATTTCCTTCTAAAAGTTTATACTAGTCAGCCATTTCCCTGAACTTGAAAAAGAGTTGTATTTCTGAGTAACAGTCAAGGTTTAGTGGTATGGACAAGCTCAGTCTGCTGTATAATCAGAGTCCCTGCTTGACTAGTCCTCAAGTAATTAGCTGTGTTTAAGTCCTTCCCTTCACTCCCTCACTACAGTTTTTACCTTTGCTGCCTAAAGTCTCCTTAGGTAATCCTACCTGTGCTACAGCTCTGGTTCCGTTTTGTCAGAAAGACATACTGATGGTTAGCATATATTTATTTTGCAGACAGGCCTGTCCTGGGCGGCACTCTGGGAAAAGCTTTGTAGTGTTAGCTCTTTGTTCCCCACTCAGGTGGTCAGCAATTTTTTTTAGTTACTACACAGGAATAGAGCAAACAAGGCTGTTATGCCAGTGCCTCTTTGGGGCAGCCTGGATAGCAGGCACAGAGCTAAGAGGGATTGACTTCTGCCATGACTCCACTGCTACTGAATCTTCTGCTTGCAGAAGCAAGGAAAGGAGGTGAGAGCTGAGGCCTGATTTGACTTATATCTTCCAGTGTCGCTATTGCCTCTTAATCCCAGGTGATGACAAGCTGTGAGGCACTCATGTTCGTATGAAGATTCACAGCGAGAAAGTGAGGAGAGAATGTGCTAAACCGCCGGGTACTGACATCATGGAGCTCTGCAGCCTTTCCACTTCCCTCTGCCCTGGTTAGGCTGGGGCTGCATTTTCCCCTGCTGTGTCTCATGAAAAGCAAACAAACAAAAAAAAAAATGCTTGTTGGCATATGATATGCAAAAACTTGAAAAAATGATTCCTCGAGAATATTGCAGTAATTGATTCAATGATGCAAATACAACCCTGAAGTACAGAATTGAAGATATGCTTACTATATGTTATAGTTGAACTGCAGATATTCCTCATTTATGCTGTAGAGAAGTATCAAGCTTTTAAATTTGACTAAAAAAATTAAATGTAGCGCTTCTAGCTGGTGTTAATTAAT